GCAACATCCCCTGTGCATCCTGCACCCATCGCAGCATCCCCTGTGGATCCTGCACCCATCGCAATGTCCTCAGCAGACTTTTTGCAAGGAAAGTGTTGCAGGGGAAGCAAACCAGCTGCACTTTTTCATGTCCTGGCTCCTCCATGTGCACCAGAAACTCCCAATTCTCAGGAACCCCGGGGGCAGTTTCGCAACCTGACCTCCTTGGGCCATGCCAGGACTCGGCAGCCCCTACCCCATCCCCTTTCACGAGATCCTGCTGAATCGGCTGAAATCAGCCCTTTTTGGAGCCAATTCCTTTTCCCGCTGGTCCCCGGGGGAGTTCTGCGACGAGATTGTCAGGAAAACAGAGATAAGACCCATTTGGTTATAAAAAGGGAGGGTTTTTGGGACCAACCCTGCAGGTTTTCTTTCATCCATCCTCGCATGTCCATGGGCTTCGGGGAGAGCAAAGAGAGACGCTGAGGCAGAAAGGAGCCTGCCGGTAAGTGGTGGGGGGCTGGGGTCTTACTTCGCACTTTTTTTCTTGCGTTTTTCCTCGTCCTTTCGGGCATGAGCCCAGGTGTGTCCCATCTGAGCAAAACAAGGTGTCAGTGATGCCTTCACCCACCAAGCAGGAGTCCTAGGTGGGTTAAACTGACTATAAAACTACACAAGAAAGTGTAGTTTTCGCTCTCCCAAGCCCAGGTTGAGTTGTTTTCGATGAAACCCGTGCCATTGGGTGCAACAATCTGGGTGTTAACCCCAACAGATGGCAAGTTATGGTGGGGGACCAGCAGCTCTGAGAACATCCAGAAGGTGGAAGGGAGGGTTGTCCTAGCAATTTGTCCCCTTTTTGACCTGAGTTTTGGTAATTTGAAGGGTGTGGGGGGGGAGGATTTCATCCTTGGGAGGCTTTGTGGAAGGTTTCCGGGAGGGTTTGATGGCAACAGGGGGAAGGATGGGGTCTTCGAGGTGGTGTCAGGAAGGGTTTGGGGATTGTTGGGTTGGACGCGGTGGCAGTGGGACGATTGGGGTGTCACTGGGCCGAGGGGAATTCAGCCCCAACCCAAAGTGAGTCGCAAGAGGTTTCCGAGGGGTAGAAAAAGTCTTTCGGGACAATTTTGGGCCAAGAGGGGATGCTGGGGACACCTGGGTCCTCCCTGGGCTCCTTGCCTCTTTCCCGTCCCTCCGGGGCCCCCCCCCCCCCCCCAAAAAAAAAATGTGCATTTTCGTACATTTTGGCTTTTTTTTTTTCCAGCGATGGCGATGGGCAGGACGTGGTGGCTCCCAGCCTGGCTGGCTCTCTTCTGTGGTGAGCAACAACCCAACCGCATCCCCCCCCCCAAAAAAAAAAAAACCCTAATTTCCTGGGTTTGGGGGTTATTTTAGGGCTTTCTACTGCAGGTTTCCACAGCAAAACATCCTTATATCCCTGTTCGTTTGTTTCTCAGAAAATTTCCCTTATTCCCTCATTTTCCCCCAGCAAAAAGATTTTATTAACTCTTTGCCTTTTCCCCAAAAATCTCTTATCCCCTGATTTTTTTTTCCCCCAAAAAAAGTCCTTATCACCTGCTTTTTTTTTTTATTAGCAAAGAGCCCTTATCACCTTTAAGAGGGAAAAAAGCTCTTATTTCCTCATTTTTTAAAGAAAAAAAGCACTTGTTCCCTCTTTGTTTGGGGTTTTTTGAATTTAAAAAGAAAAATTCTGATTACCTGTTCGGGTTTTTTTTTTCCAGGGAAAA